GGGTATTTGGTGAATATAACGAATCCAACGAAAATTGAAACTCGGCTATCCAATTAACAATTCCGAGCCATTATCCATTACACCACCCACATATCTAAGTTAATCCCAAGCGGTCACCCATCTAGGCACTGATCAGACACGATTTTGCTTAACTTCGGTGATCGTATAGGAACTGGTGTTTGAACATGATGTCGCCGTAAGATAGACATTTTTTGGCTACCTACAATGGCACTTTTATGAAAGCTGGAATTGGTATCCGACCTAAGTGACTTCATGTGTAACGTTCAAATTGAAAAACATTTATCAAATATTTTTTACGGGTTGCTAATATTTTTTACATATATTAAACATTTTGAACGCTTATAATATATTTTATGCACACTTTAAGATACCGTCTTTTGTAGAGAAATATTTTTTAATGCTTGTTATTTTTTTTTCGTATAATAATGGCTCCTAGAATCTTGATCAATTCTTTACAGTGAGTGTTGAACAGCATTTTGATATTATTTTTTAATATTAATCGTATGTTGATAGTTGCATTTTTAATTACGTCAGGTGACAAGTCAACCTACGAGAAAGTGCGATGCGTATGTGGCTAATGTAAAAATTGAATGTTAGAGTTAGCCTCAAAGACATTTAGGAAAAACAAAAACACAAGCAAACAGAAGTAAAAAATAACCACACCATAGAAAGGACTAAACATAAAATACAAGAAGACAGAATGCGTGGTTACTAGTAAAGGATTAAATTTCTGGTCAGGAACACTAGAACAAGGACGATAAAGTTTAAATATCTGGGAAACGTTTTGACAAAGGGACGGTAAGTGACACATTCCAAATCCATAGAGAGTATTGTAAGACAGGAGAATTTCTTTGGTAACAAAGAAAAGAATACTGGGCTGTCACGGGACATCTGTCCTTCTTTACGGCAGCGAATGTTGGACGATTTCCTCAAAGATGAAGAAAAGACTCGAAGCGACGGAAATGTGGTTCTACAGAAGGATGCTAAGGATATCATGGGCCGAGCATGTGAGCAACGATGAGGTCTTAGGATGCAAACAAGGAGGAGGCTTACATTTAACATCAGGAAGAGGCAGCTGAAGTTTCTGGGACACATAATGAGGAAGGAGGGCCTGGAGAATCTGATACTCACGGGTCGAATAGAAGGAAAGGGAGACAAAGGAAAACAACGCATGAGATACCTAGTGGTCTTGTGCAAGTGGATGACAGAACGTGGTCTGGGGGATGGAAGCAGAGGGAAGGAACTTGTTAAGAGCTGCAAGGGATAGAAGGAGGTGGAGAGCCATGATCGCCTACGTCCTGAAAGTACATGACACATAGAAAGAAAGAAATCTCATTGTCGCATCCGAGTGGACTATGTTTTGTTAAGCGGCTAGCCAATCCCACATTGCAGACGCCTGCTCAGACAAAATTTGTTTTTCTTTCAACACCCAGGAGCACACGTGTGGTTTATAGATCAATTTTCTCATTACAAGGCTAAAATTACAGTTTGTGGTAAATCAAATTGTCTTCCATTTTCAACAATCTTTTGTTAACAAGGATAGTACACTCAAACCCTCGATCATGATGACTTTTGACTATGTGCAAACACAACCATCGACCGTCTACCTAATTTCAATCACTTGGGTTAACTCGTGACGTATGGATTTTCAGGCATTTTCGAAATGTGCTGCACGCTGGGATCGCCTCAACGGACCAATAAAATCAAGAATTCATCCTCCTGATAAATCGAACCCTGCTTTCATGGTTTGCGTGGAAGCAAATATTTTTCCAAGAATTTTATAAAAATGAAACGTTTCACAAAGTAATTTCATTCATTTGTAAATATGTACAGAAAGTTCCATTAAAATCCGACAAATATGTGATGTTTGCATAGAATTTCCGAATTTTCACTTAAAAAAGCGCTAAAATATCGCATACTAATTTATGGTCGACCGCTGACACATGGAAAAAAAATTAACCAAATTCTAAAAATGATTAAAAAAAATTTAATTTAATAAGAAAAAAAAAAAATAAAATTTTCTTCCTATTAATAAAAAAAATTGACGATAAAATTTCGTTTTTATTATCTTTAGGGCATTTTCTTATCATGTATGCTTATTTTATATATATATATATATATATATATATATATATATATATATATATATCACCATGTGTATGTGTGTGTGGTGTTATCGCTTTGGAAGGGCTATTTTATTATTGCACCTTTGTTCTAAATTGTGAAAAAATACTACCTATGTACCAATTTTGTGAGTGAAATTGGGTAGAAGGAAACTTTAATGCATATTCGATATATTTAAAGCTAACCTTCTCTTATTCACAAGTTTTCGTGACCGTGGGTTTGGGTGTTCTGTCGTTGTTTTTCTTCTTGATCACGCTCGATTTCACGCCAGAAACTATAACTTTGAGGTCTGACTGTACATAGTTTTGTCAAAAATTTACAGGTTGGCTCTCTGTCGTAGTGAACAAACACAAATGTGCCTGGGAAAGTCTAATTATTTTGGCATATTCCGCCTTCAAAGAAAAATTATACTCGAATACGAGTGGCCAACTATTATATATATATATATATATATATATATATATATATATATATATATATCAACTGGAGGGCGGGTATCTGACAAGATTTCTCGAATATTTATGCCGGTAGATGTAAATAAATAAAGATATTGCCTGACAAGTAAATAAAAACACAACGTCTATTCTAATATGTGTATCCATGAGAAATAAGGTTAAAACAAATAAATTATGTTTGCGTGCGGATGAGTGTCATCCCAATACTGGCACTAAACATAATCAAACAAAAACTGACATAAATAGCTTCGAATTTAACAAAATAAATCAGTTCGTCTGATGATCGCAAAAGCGTGAAAACCAGGTTTACAAAATGATATCCATAGAATTAAATAAATATATTATTATCAACAGACAGATTTTTTCGCAACTCTTCAGTGTTGCTAGACATCCAATTGCTACAAGCCGGATTTGAAACTGGACCGATTCGGTATGAGGCAGACGCATTCTATATCGCGCGCGGTTGAGAAAAAGGGAAACTTTAACGTTTTCTATATGAAATACAATTATATACAAGCTAATTATTCAATTGAAGAGCAATGCGTTAATATTAGTAAACTACCACTGTTTTTAAAATTCAGTCAATAAATAAATAATATATATATATATATATATATATATTTATATATATATATATATTTAGAACGCAATCACACATACAAAAATATAGTGAACGAATATGAAAAATAAAATCATTTAGAAAACACAAAAATATGAGTGTTCAATAGTTTTGATCACTTGAAGAAAAACTTTGTTGATCTGTAGAAAAAAAATTTGATGTTAAAATGGATGAACCAGATTTTAATGCATATGATGTTTTCTAGAATGGAGAATAGACGTTTTAGTAGATTAATTTATTGATTATTCTTGTATGTACCTCATATTGCCTAATGTTTTATATATATAAATATATATATATATATATATACACACACAAAACATATATTTCTCTATGCATACATACGCACACACATAAATATATTTGTGTTTGTGTGTGTGTATGTGTGTATAAATTTGTATGTAATCTGTTCTTGATTCATATATATATATATACACACTTTTTTTATATATATATGTCATACGCACATTGTTTGGTTCTGCAACACATTCACTTTATGATGTTTACTATTAAAACACACACACATATATCTATGTATGTGTGTGTGTTTGTGTGTGTGTGTGTAAATAGGCTGATGTGTGTGTGTCTGTCTGAGGATCGCCTAAAAATCCCTTAACCGGCAGTCATCGTTAAACCGATCTCCATTCAACTAAATATGTTTATTCTGTCGCTGATGTTGAAGCGTTTTTCGTAAGCACCGCATACACACACACACACACACACACATATTTATATTGATATATATATATATATATTATATATATATATATATATGAAATGCATTCTGTTAAAACAAACTATGAAGAATCTATTGTTCAAACGAATTTTATTGCAATGAACTGATATATCCCGGCAATTTCGTTCTACAGCACTCAACAGGAATAGAACGAGAATATCAAAAGACATACAACGGTGAAAAATGACTATATAGGTAAAAAAAAAAAAAACGTGTACTCTCCAATAGACTATAAATGCATGGATTTTGAACAAACTTGTAGGACGCTATCTAAGTTGTTTTCATTTTAGCCACTGCATGAAAAACATTAGACACGTGATAGTTACACACACACACACACACACACATTGGGTGCATCAGTGTCTAAATATCAGTTATCTCAAAACATTTATCACTTTGCTGACAACGTTGTCCTCATTTTTTCTGCCATCTTCAAAAACAATAAAAAAAAATTTAGATTCAAGACCTAGATTGTTTAAATTAACACTATTGCAATTAGAAAAGGCATGGATTAATATCTTCCTTAAAAGGCATTAAATTAACACTATTGCAATTAGGAAAGGCATGTATTAATATCTTCCTTAAAAGGCAACAAATTTTAACACTATTGCCTCAGTGGAAAGGCAAAGATTAATATCTTCCTTAAAAAAAGAACTAAATTTCACTATTGCTATTAGGAAAGGCATGAACAAAATCTTCCTTAAAAAAAAAAAAAAAACCCACACTATTGCAATTAGGAAAGGCAAATGTATTAATATCTTAGACGAAAGGCATTAAATTAACACTATTGCAATTAGGAAAGGCATGTATTAATATCTTCCTTAAAAGGCATTAAATTAACACTATTGCAATTAGGAAAGGCATGTATTAATATCTTCCTTAAAAGGCATTAAATTAACACTATTGCAATTAGGAAAGGCATGTATTAATATCTTCCTTAAAAGGCATTAAATTAACACATATTGCAAAAGGAAACAATGTGGAATATCTTCCTTAAAAGGCATTAAATTAACACTATTGCAATTAGGAAAGGCATGTATTAATAATCTACCTTAAAAGGCATTAAATTAACACTATTACAATTAGGAAAGGCATGAATTTATATCTTCCTTAAAATATCTCTAATATGTCACAATGGTCAATGGAAAAAGAAGTTGTTTTTGTTTGCTTTTACTAAAGTTAACAAAATAAAGAGTGTTTCATTAAGACGGATCAAAGTCAGCAGTAAATAAATCAGTGTTATT